CGCTACCCTCATCGGCGTGGGCAACAAGGCTTAGAAACATCCGTACTCTCTTACTCTCACCTGTAAAGCCATTCCCTTTATCTATAAAAAGGGGATGCGCTCCCTACAACAAAAGAGGTTCACTTCTTCAAGTTCAGGCTCACTAGATCGATAGCGCAAAAACCCTCAAGCACACGCTTGAACACCTAGCTCATAGCGGAGTTTCGGTCGCCCGCGGCCCTTCCGGTCGGACCTGACCGGGCCTCTCGTACACCCCTCCTTTCTCCTTCTCGTTTGTAACCCCACTACATACTTCGAGCACCTGGGCTCAGGAATAAAGTCATCGACCGACCCACACTGAACGTAGGGCATGTTGCCTGAACCAGTATAAATCCTGTATCATTGAGTGCTAGGCCACATCCGATCACAACGTATAGCAAAACTACAAATATTCAATAGTTGGTCACTTTCTGTACCGACATTTATGGTCCCAGAGTTCTGTTTGAAATTCTCAAATTTTAAAAATTCAATTTTTCAAATTATACAAACGATCTTAGATGAAAAAACAACCGACAACCTTTTGATTAGAAATAATTTATTCTCTCAAATTTGTATCTAAAGTTCTAAAATTTTGAAATTCAAATTCTAGAAATTACCTCAGATGAAAAATCGACCGGTGATGAGTTTTTTCATTTGAAATTATTTAAGGTCTCAAAAGTATAGCTAAAGTTTTAACAATTTAAAATTCAAATTTATCAAACGACCTCGGATAGTGAAATGACCAATATTGAAGTTGTAGATCTCGATTAGAACACAAAATTTATAGTTGATAATTTTTTCATTTGAAGTCGTTTAGGGTCATAAATATTTATTTTAAAATTCTAAAAAGTGAATATTAGAGGAATGGATATGCTATCTGGATGCAAGTAACTTATGGGTGGAGTGGTTAGAGTAGCTACGCGACGATAACACATGTTTCAGGTTTGAATCCCACCATTCGCGCAGCGTGTGAAAGATCGTGTGACTTGCGACGCGCGACCGTGCGGCTGGCTGGTGGGGCCTTTTCGGGATTACAATAAACTTTTAGCTACTTTTTGACCTGATTTTGGAATTTCTGTAAATCCTAATCACCGCCGGCTAGGAACACAAACTAGCAATGATACGATGGTCATTCGTATCACAAACGACGGTAATAATGAGGGGTTTGGAACCAGCGGCGACGAAGAATCACCAGGGTACGGTGATGATAGTCCCCACCGGAATAATTTTATACCGATTCTGACGACGCTAGGAATGGAGGGTGCAAAGCTCCAATTACAAGGGTGACCCTTAAATGTACAAGAGGTACACAACATAGCAGGAGAGATGAGAATTACAGCACCAACAAAACAACGACAGGTACAACTAACCTACTATTAAAACTAGTACGGGCACTAAGTCGCTAACTAGTACCACCATCAGATTACAAATGCCGAAGATACCTGTTCCACAAATAGTTGTAAAGGATTTAGTTCAGTCTGACAGACGACAACCATGCGACTGTAAGACACTGAGTCAAAATAAACCAATAGACGGCGGCCGTGAGTTGCATCGCCAATAAGGAGCATTCAGGATCCAACCGACACCCACCTATGCCATTTGGGGGAGGAGGCTCAAAGGAGGGAGGACCACCAGAAGGAGATCCAAGAGAGATGGTCATTGTCTCGCAACCTAGCATATGATGAGACGTAGCACTTCAGTAACCTAGAGGACAGCAATCCATTGAAGATAACAGAAGCCAGCAACTAGTGTGCACAAAAGCAAGGAGTTGGAGGATAGTCAGACCAAAGCGGGGAAGATTGGAAGACTGGCCGAGGAGAGTTCAAAGGGGCGTCAAGACACGGATGGCCACAAGTATACTTTTAACAATGGCTTTAAGAAGGGAAGTAACGTCCACGGATGCCACCGTCCTAGGCCAAATCTAGGAAGGGCTTTCGCGTCGAGGCATGCTCAGTCGGGCACCAGTAGCAGAATCTTCAATGATGCCTCCAAGGAGAGGTATGACGCCAGTTGTGTCATCATCGCCGGACCAGAGCAATAATCGGATTTGGCTTTCGCCCATGTTTCATACCAGAGGCAAGTCCTCAACACTGCATCAACCCAAACTTGGCCACCAGCAGCAAATCCCGAAGCACGGCAGCTGTGATAGGCCGTTCTCGCAGCACGACGTCAGGCAGTGCGGAGCTGTGCCCGAGCATGGATTGCCGTGAAGCGTCGTCTAGCAACTTAACGTTCCCTACACCGCGAGAACACCCCTTGCACCTCCCTGTCGGCGCTGACGAGGAGGTTCGCCAGCTTGATATCACGGTGGACGATGCGACGTCCGTGGAGGTGTGCCAGGCCGGCCCGCCTGCACCGCGACCACAGCGAGCGCGCCCTCTAGGAATGCCCTACGCGGGGCCGCGATGACGTCCAGTGAGCCACCGTTCTACGAGCTCGAGCAGGAGCGCGATGGTTTTTTTTAGGCACAGGTGGAGTTTTCCCCCACTGGTTAAAAAATTTATTAAAAAGGAGAATAAAAAGGGTCTAGGCCCACCGCGAGGAGCACGGACAATAATCGAATGTAGGCCCGAGGCCCGATGGCCCAGCCCATGGTCCAAGCTTTTTGCTCGGCCTAGGCACGGCACGTCCCGGTGATCGTTGGGCCTGTCGTGCCTGGGCAGCGTCCTTGGCCCGGACCGGCCCGATGAATAGGAGACCATCGGTCATCTTCGTCTCACATATATAAACAAAATAAGAACCCTAGCTTCAGGTCTCAATCTCCATCCCGCTGCTTCTTTCTCTTCCCCTGAACCCGTAGTCGCGCTACTCCTCTTCCCATGACTCCCGAGTCGAGTTGTGACTCCCAAACTTCCCGCGATGCCCCAACTCAGGGATGCGCCAGCCGCTAATAGCGGCAACGTGGTGACGCAGGGGTGCGATGGCCTAAGTGCACGTGGCCTCGGCTACCTCGCGCGGCGGCGTGGCCTAGGCAAGCCTGCACGGCGATGCAGCCTCGCCAACTCCCACGACAGCGGCGGCACTGCGACACCAACTGGTGCTCGGACGACGCCCAACCTCCCCCTCCATTGCCTAGGCTGGCACAAGGACGATGGGCCCAACAGGCCATCAGGCCAGCCCGAATCCTTGTAGGGCCATAGACACCGCCTGTGGGCTGGCACGGCATGGCACAAACAGCCGGTAGGCCGGGCCGTGTTGGCCCGACTCCCATCGGGTCATGCCTGGGTAGGCCCGGGCCTGGCTAGGCCGGGCGTCCCGTTGGTCATCTATAGGCATGAGGCCTCTCCAAATCCTCCCCCACACACCCATGCGAAAGAACAGCAGGTGTGGCATCCGTGACTTGGCTTGGTGTCAGCTTGAGTCGATCGGGAGCTGCCTAGTCGCGCCAAGTAGCCTTCCTCCTCCATGGATCCGCCCCCATGAGCACGGATCCAGCCACCAGTAGAAAGATTCTGACCAGAGCAGTGACAAATCGAGAGATCTAGGAGAGATTATGGGTTGAGGAAAAAGGAAGTGCGGTGGAGAATGGAAGAAGTAGAGGCGAGGCTTTTGGGTGCCACCCGCTGGCACCGCCACCACGACCTCCATAGCGCTAGTCGGAGGGATGTGGTGGTTGGCGGCTGGGTTGCGTCACCCTCGAGTCGCTCACGAGCGAGATTACAAACTGTTAGTGGGAGATTTTGTCCCTTCGGTCCTATATTTAAACTTCCATGTGTTAGTATCTAGGTCGCAAACTTCCAGCGTTGCATATCGAGGTCCCCAAACTTGTTAAACGAATCACACTAGGTACATAAACTTGCACGGCAGTGCCATCTAGGTTCCTAACTTCTACTGCAAATCTATATATGTCCCCGCGGCCGGCCTTGCTAATCAGGCCATTCAAGCTCCAAATTACCATTGTTTGCGATAGCCGCCTGTGTGGTAGCATGTGGAGCCCATATGCCATCCCCATCTCCTTCACCACTCCCTCCTGTGGGCTCACATGCCATCCCTCTATCACATCCCGTTCGCCTCCCTCCTGTCTCCATTCGGACAGCACTCCCTGCCCATGTTCTACTGGCGTCCGAATAACGCTTCATAGCAAAGCGCTGCCAGAGCATAGATGCAACCACCAAAAGATCTAAGGGCGAGGAGCCCAACTCGCCCATGACCGGCCATCATTGGGTCGTGGTCGTGGGCTTGTGGCCAAGCTCAGCAGTTGTATTTGAGGATAGGAGGGAGCATGTTTGAAGCCAGCCACCATCACTTGGTTATAGCGGCGGTGCTGCTTCTGCTGCTGAGATGCTCCGGCTGTTGTTGGTGGACTGCTATTGGTGCTGGCGCTCGGCTTGCGGCGCAAGAGAGAGTGTGGCAGTTGCATGAGAGGGAAAGGGGAAGGAGATGAGAGAAAGGGATGACATGTGGGTCCACATACCAAGTGCACAGTCACTAGCCACACATGCGGCTTATCGAAACAATGGTCATTTGGACCTCGCATGGCCTGATTAACAAGTTTTGGGACCGAGTTCTGCAGTTTTGGAAGTTAGGGACCTGCATGGCAATGTCGTGCAAGTTTAGGTATATCGTGATGATCCGTTTAACAATTTTGGGACCTCGTTAAGCAATGTTGAAAGTTTGGGAGCTAGATGATACTGTAGTACAAGATTAGGTATTAAACCTAATATGTTAGATCTATGTCAGCGTTGAATCATCATGCACGTCGGCATATGGAGTGGAACGAAACCTGTTTCGACCTGTGTTGGAGCCCGTGACAAGTTTAGGGACCTGCAAGTCATCTACATCGTCACCCACTAACTATCCACATCATCTCCGCTGATAGCCATGTCATCTCACTAACTTCTAACATCTTAATGCAAGTTATTCACATTATCTTCACTTATTAATTTTGTTATAAATTCTTCACAATCCTTGCAGCAATGCGCGGGGTATCTTCTAATTTCTATAATACAGAATAAAGTCTAAACTATTGACAACTGTTGCAGGTCCGTCTACGTCTAACGCCGACGCTCCGGTGGCTATGGAAGTAGGCTACAAACAATTGCAAACGCCCAAGCAGGCTATGGAAATCATCCGCTCGGCGCACTCTCTGTTCAAGAAGTTTAAGGTACTCTTCGCTGATGGTATCTTCAGCTTCAAGGACAGACAAGACGGTCAGGCTAAGTTCTCGGGTTCAGACGCGCACCGGGCCTTCAAAATCATCGAGGTAGAGCTCAGTTTCGTGTACGACAGGCTATACACCAAGGCTTCGGTGTCGCCCACAAAGGTCGGTCTGCCTATCAGGGTCGCCAGCCTTATTTTATCACTCGCGGGCAGCCTGTACGCGTCGTTCGCCATATGGCGTTCGAGTCAGTACAAGCTGAGGCACAGGTGTGTGACGTACACGCTGCTCGCTGAGGCCGTGCTCACTGACGTCGTCGCACTGGCAGCTCGCCTCTTTAGCGTGTGGTCACTGCTAGAAAGCGAGTGGCTGATGAAGCGGTGCTGCGTGAGGTCGGCGAATCGCAGGAGATGGTCTGGATGCATGGCGCAGTCCAATCTGATCACCATCTGCATACAGAAGCTGCCCACGGAGTCAGAATTCGAAGCTCTTCTCCGTCGGTTGTTACCGCGAATCCGTGAAGGCGAATCCCTAACCCTAGTAACGGTGGGGATGGCGCCGTCGGCAGGGCTGCTGCCTTGGCAGATTGACGGCTGCATCTGCTGTAGATGAGCTCGAGTTATGGGATGGTTTCCAGAGGCACTTTGAACGGCGATCTCTCATGGATCAAATAAGGTCAGGAAGCTTCTGGAAGTACTATAAGAAGACAAGACACGTTCCAGTAAGTGAGCAACTCAAAAAGTTTATATTCGAAGAGATAAAGGACAAAGAGAGGCTCTTTGTAGGAACAGCCAAGAACGGAGAGACCTTCCCCGACCCCGACTACAGTTACAGGGGCGACAGAGCTCTTGGGAACAAAGAGGTTCATCTAAGGTGGAGCATACAGAAGAAAGAGTTTGATGAGAGCCTACTAATATGGCACATAGCAACAGATTTGCTCTTCCGCGTAGAAAACTCCCCAGGGCTCGATCCCGAGACCAGGAAGTTTATGGACATGGGAAGCCAGCTGTCAGATTATCTCTTCTACATCATGGTGGTGCACCCGTTGATGCTGTCCTCCTCCACTACCCTCGCCACCAAGAGGTGCAAAGACACAATCGCAGAAGCCAGAAGGCACTTCTTGAAGAAGCATGCCGCCGCAAGGACATGGTCATGGTATTCCAAGAAAAAAGAAGATGCAACCTCACCAAACGCTGCAGATGGCGGCGACAAGGCGGTGACTGAAAAGAACGCCCACGAATCCCTGCTCAGGGTTGTCCAGGACACGCCGCTGCAGGCGTCGGTGGTGAAGGGGGACAAGAGCAAGTCGGTGCTGTGGGACGGCTGCTTCCTCGCCGAGGAGCTGAAGCGGATCATGGGTGACCCCAAGACCAGGTGGGAGGCCATGTGCAAGGTGTGGGTGGAGATGCTGTGCTACGCGGCGGTTCACTGTGGAGGGTACCAGCACGCGGAGCGGCTCAAGGAGGGCGGCGAGCTCATCACCTTCGTCTGCCTGCTCATGACCCATCTCGGCATGGGCAAGCATTACAGGACCGAGGTCGGGGACGCGTATCCTTACCTGTCCCGCTATTCAGCTGCCCACAAGTAAAGCATGCAAGGAACCCATCGGTTTTCGCCTTTAGACATGCAACAATCGATTTTCTTTTTAATCAACGAAGGAATACTCCAAAAAGGCATTCCGGCCCTGCTACTTTATTTTATGTGCAATTGATTGTGGACGCCACTTGGCTACTGCTACTTTATCTTATGTGCAGAGTAATTTGTTTGTACTTCATTGCTGGACCCTTTGTCATCCTGGAACTCCACTTCCTTCTTATATTATTACCTGTCTTGTTTGTTCAGAGGACCCATGTCTTTCCAATGTACTGTACTTCAAGTGAATAGAATGAATGTCCAAAACTCTAAATAGTGTGAGAATCTGCTGCTCTGTAAGTGTCGAGTTCGGTCATAAGCAATGGAAAATGGTTCGCATACAAGATACAGCTATTTTTTTTCGTGAGAACTCATGCAGCTACTGCTACTCATGGACCGGAACTGCAAAACCAGCGTGTCTGGCCAGATTAAAAACCCGCTCCGGCTCCTCAACTATACAAATACTGTAGCGTGACATTCGGTCAAAAAGGCTACTGTAGCATGGCTGAGCCGAAACTAGGGGTTCTAGAAATCGTGGCTCCGACCTTAACTTTTTAGTTAAATCCTGAATGAAAATCAGATAAAACAAGCTGGCAGTGTGTGAAGATGCCCTGCTGCCAAAAATAGAAATGATTTAGTTTCTTTTGGATATTCCTTTTTTTTTTGCCTTTTTCACCACTAAGACGCTACCACCAATAGTAGTTTTGTCAATAGTTAGGGGGTGTTTGGAACTGCTCCATAAACTTTACTGTGAAGTAGCTCCACAAAAATCTAGAGTCTGTGGAGCACCCCATCCTTTTTCCTCTAATAGAGTGCGTGGAGTTGAAACCGTTTAGCTAAAAAACGTAGTAGCAGTGCAGTTCCAAACACCCCGTGTTTGAGCTCTCATCTCATGAACAGCCATCACTGACCATAATGAACATCGTCCCTCAGTGTTCCACTGGATGCGAGCATCTTCAGAGATTAGGTAATGCTAATGTATTGCCCTTCTCAAATATTGAATTGGCTAATCCTGGTAGTAGTGTGTCTGACATAAGCATTGGAATATAAACAGATGGGAGATGTGATATGGAATCTGCACAACCTCTGATGCTACCGAGAGGACAGCATGGGTACCAAGGAATCATCAGGTATTTTTATTTCATATGAGCAATAATCCTTTCGACGAATCATCATTAGCAAAAGCTCACTCCTAAAAAAAACTCACAGTGCTAGGCGCACGCATGCGTTCAGAAACTGCCATGCGCCGAGCAGACGCAAAGTGCGCTGTGGAATACTGCATAGAGGCGGGAATTGATAGGAGGGGCCAATGAGTTCTTGACCAGAAGTACAGACTAAGAGCAAGATCAATAAACTTGTCCAAGGGCGTGTCCAGCGGACTGTCGAAGTCGCCGGCAGCTTTTCGAATCCATTCGATCTGGCGGAGAGAGAGTGTGAAAAAATGACTCGCTAGCGATGAAGCAAGCGCTAGTCTCGCACTTCAATCAATGAACGTTGTGTCTCTGCTCACGCGCTTCCATGGCATGCAAATCAAGTTCATTTTTTATTTTATTTGAGCGCCACCTCAGCTAGTGATTTGAACTTCTAATAACCAAGCCATGTCATATGCAGACTGTTTGGAAAGCGGGGCTTTCCCAACAGGGAAGGCGCGATGGCCTCCGCCTCCTCCGGAGGCATCTCTACTATAATTGAAAACTTAGAAACTCATCACGGAGGCTTCAACGCTCCCGTCACCGAAAAAATGAAAAAAAAACAAACGCGCCGAGGACGCCGCCACTGCGGAAACCTTCCGATCACGAAAAAAACCAACGTCAGAAACCTTCCTGTAGCCGCCGCCGCCGCCTCTTCCCTTCCTCCTCCCGACCTTCAGGCTACGCCAGAGCTGCCAGCGCCTCCTCCGTCGAGCGGGCTGCCGCCCCTGCCGAGCAGATTCCAAGCTCCGCCCCTTCGGACCAGCTCCATGTTGGAGTCAAAGCTCTGCCCTTGTCAAGCGGGCTGCGAACGGCAGAGTCCAAGCTCCGCCCCCTGCCGAGCAGCTCCGCGCCGGAGTCCGGCGTCGCCCCGCCGCTCGATCCAAAGTCGCCTGTGTTGTCCTCGCATCAACGTCGCCTCCTTCCTCCTTCCTCCTCGCATCAACGGCAGATCCGGCGGCGCCCACCAGCGGTCTGGATCTCGCAGGCCAAGCGGAGGCTCCCTCCCGAGTTCTAGCGGTGGCGGCGACCTCTCCACCTTCCATGCGAGCGGCTCCCCATCTCCGATGGCGGCGCGGCCTGTCTCGCGCGGAAGGCGCCTGACCACGCGAAGGACGCCCCAACGGCTGTGGCCACCGAGATCCGGCGCTGCCTGCATCGTCCCCGACGCCCGAGATCCCTCGCGCCCCCGTCTCCGCCGAACAGCTCGCACTGGCCGTGTGCGCTGCCGCCGCCGGGCGGGTCGCGCTGGCCGCCTCTGCCTGTCGTTCTCAGAAGAACTCTGCCTCGGTGAGCTATGTCCTTCCCCTGCCTTCTGATCGTCCAGAACCCAAACACTGCCCAGCTATGTGGCTGTGCTGTGACAGCGATGGATATTCGTGTTGATTATGGATGGAAGAATAACAAAATTGAGATTGGGATGAGAAATTTGCTAATTTGGGATGGGGAGGAGTGGGAAATCACATTGAGATTGTTTTATCGTTGATATGTAGGTGTGACTTTCTTCTCAGTTCCTCTATAGTCTGTACTGGTAGCCTACCACTACATGTAGTCTAGGTGTTTGATAAAATGCTTATTTTAGGGCAGAATAGGGGAAGATGGGCATAGGCAAGCGTGTTAATCATCTCTGCAAACGGCATCAGATAAAATTATCTCTACAAATGGTTTTAGAAAAGAGTATGTTGGTATACCTTTTCTGCTAAGAGTATGCTTGGATACTTTTTTAGATCATAGTACCATGTGATACTTTCTACTATATGTTATAGTATCACTTGATACTTTTCAGATTGTAGTATCTCCTGATACTTTTAAACATATATTTTATTTTAAGATTGTAGTAGTATCTCGTGATTTTTTTTTTCACATCATAATTTTTTCAGCTTGTAGTACCTCCCAGTACTTTTTGGGAGCTAACCTACAGAGGCTGGAGGCCAAAAAGCAATAGTTGAGGAGCAAGCTGAGGATGCAGCCTTCATCGGAGGAACTTGATCATCGAGAAACGTGAATCTTAATGAATTAATTTGATTATTTCTTGTATACAATTTCATGAAGCCATGGGATGGTGTAAGATTGCTACCGATCATCACTGTAAGCGTATATTCTCTAACTATATTCCGTACACTACATACAAAATTAATAACTTAACTTATTATATCTACCATGCATAGCTATCAAATTCACTGAGGATGGAATTTTTGGGGGACATTCTTAAGAGCCATGCAAACGAATGTTTTGACAACTTTCCTGAAGATCTTCAAGTCATGATTAAGGACTTAGACAGAATGTAACTTAAATGGTTATATGAGGAAAAAACTTTACTATGACTTCTTAGTTTCCCGGATTGTATACATGCTCAAAGATATTGTGTAAAAGTTGAACTATGGAAAAAAACATTGGTTGTTTTCATATTCGTCTCCAAGATAAATCCGTTGCGTTAGCACGGACATTATACTAGTCAGTAGAGGGCGAGTGGGGAAGTGAGTGAGTGGGACCGGAAACAGTTATGGCTTCATTAATGTGGTCACCAATCAACCTCGTTACACTATGCACTCCTTTTATAGGGCACCATTTGCCAATTTAGTATATTACAATCTTATCATCTGATAGCTAAGGTATATTTCTAAAATATCCCTACTCTAGTTCAAACCCTCAGGGTCATTCTAGACTTTGTCTACCTACACCATCTTTTCTCCTTGGGCCTCAACTTCAGGCCCACCAGGGGCCCATCTCCAGTTCTGGGACGCATTGTCCGGTGAAGGTCTCTCCCTCTACCATCTGGGCGGCGATGTCTCTGCCTGCAGCGCAGACGCCTCCGCCCTTTGCTCCCGTGCCTCCATCCTCGGTCTCCTCCAGCTCTATGGCGGATCCGCCTTCTAGCCTCCGCCCTAACCTGGTAGTTGCAGGCGGAGGCCTTCTTGCGCTCGGCGAAGGCTCTCCGAGTCGCCTCCCAAGGCCTCCGCCTGGACCTTCGCCGGCTTCTCCCAGATCTTCGCGTCACCCTAGGCCCCATCCGAAGGCTTTCGCCGAGTGTCCCTGCAAAGCATCCATAGATGACCCGATGTTGTTAACCAATGTTAACCTTAGCCTATGTGATTCCGACTATTGGTGTCCCAACACAGACTACTCTTGTAGACAAGTCATACAATAATGAACACTCTTCACAGATTCCAAAATATACTTTAGTTACATGGGACCCACCAATAACTCATCTTTGTATATTCTCCCTCTGCTCTCTCTTTATGTCCGCAGGCCAAAAGGAGGACCGTGTAACCTACATTGATTCTAAGTGGGTCCCACATGGTGTTAGAGCTGGTGACCAGTCGGTCAACGGCAGCATCACCCAACTCATTCTCTCTCCTACTTTCTCTCTCTTCCACCTATGACTTTGCTGAGTTGTCTTGGCTATTAGACATGACTTATTGTATGGGCTCTTGTACTAGATAGGAGTACTAAATTTGTGTTTGTGAAGGTCTACTATGACTCACAAATCCTAAATGTGAGGTAAGTGCAAGAAGAGGCCAAATGAAAAGCATAAGGGCTATTTATCGCAGTATTCGAGATAAATATAAAAGCTGTTCATTTAAATAGATCCGTGGTTATGATTATCTATTACCTCCTACATGATAATAGATTTTCTCATTTAACCTATTTTATAATTTTATAAAATATGTTAAATGAGGAATCTTTTTTATTAAAAAAACTTTCTTCAGATTTAATTGATACACACATGATATGTTAGATGTGGTAAATCTTTTTATTTTGAAAC